GCGAGTCACAACTACTGAAGCCCGTGCACCTAGAGCCCGAGCTCGCAACAAGAGAAGCCACTGCAGTGAGAGGCCCGCACACCACAATGAAGGGTAGCCCCCGCTCGTCGCAACTAGAGAAAGCCCGCGCGCAGCAACGAAGACCCAAAGCAGCTAAAGATAAATAAATAAATAAATTTTCAAAAAATAGATTACAAGTAAAGATAAAAAATTTGTACTGGCCTGTCTCACCATTCCCTACTTCAAAAGGGAGGGATAGAACTTAATCTTTAAATCATAATCAGTCTCTGAGTAATTGTTAGCTGACTTGTCAGTTCTGCTGAAAACTGGTTATTTTGATTTCATAATGTAAATATACATTATGAATTTTCTTGAGTCACTCATGTTTAAAGATGGGCCTTCTTTCTGTAGTAGATAATTCCTGAAGTTTTGTGTATTCTATTGATACATCAGATTGGTAGAGGAAAATGGATAAGTATAGGGTGCATATAGTATCTTGGTATGACAGTTTTAAATACGTAGATATATGAATTTTATTGAATAATTATAATTTAGTTCAATTGTGAGCTTCAGAATTGTGCACTGTGAACCTACTAAACACTTTTATGAATTTTCTCAGAAACCTCGTTTTCTTATCCTTCCCCCATTCTAATAGATACAGTAACCATTAGGTTTTCTTTTTTAAATTTTTTATTGGCGTATAGTTGATTTACAGTGTTGTGTTAGTTTCAGGTGACAGCAGAGTGAATCGGTTATACATATACATATATCTGCTTTTTTTGTTTTGTTTTGTTTTTAAGATTCTTTTCCCATGTAGGCCATTACAGAGTATTGAGTAGAGTTCCTTGTGCTATACAGCAGGTTCTTATTAGTTATCTATTTTATATATATACAGTAGTGTGTATATGTCAATCCCAATCTCCCAGTTTATCCCTCCCCCATTATCCCCTGGTAACCATAGGTTTGTTTTCTACATCTGTGACTCTACTTCTGTTTTGTAAATAAGTTCATTTGTACCCTTTTATTTTAGATTCCATATATAAGCAATATCATATGATATTTGCAGTAACCATTAGTTTTTAATGGGATAGATATGAATGTGATGGCATATGCATTAAAGAAAGGATTGAGACTGCACACAATTGGAGATGCTTTATTATATACTGAAGAACCAGTTGAATCTTATTGACATTTATAATCTTTCTAGCCTTAGGATAGCACCTAGATAGAACACTGCATCATTTTGAAATGCTGTTTAGGCTTAGCAGGCAAATTGCTGAGTTCTCTTGCTCATGTTTTCTATTGGGGCAGGAGTGATATTGCACAAGCATGCTATATGATTGTTGACTTCATCTAATGGGTAGCTCCAAAAAAGAGTGTAGACACATATTTTAATCAGCATTCAGTTGTTAATCTAATTTTGTAAGCATTTCACAGCATCAAGAAACAAAATTTGCATTTGTATTTTGAGTGCAGTGGATCTCTTACTAGCCATGTAATAAACTTATGTTAAATTCTGTGTTAGATCCCAAAGGATGCTTGATGGTTGGAGTTATTAGCTAGTTTGAAGGGTTAGTGGCATCGTGATTCTCACTGAAAAGTTTTATTTCATTTGTTAACTGTGTCTCTCTCTAAAATTTTCACCATTTTAAGCCCTTAGTTAGATTCTGGCCACACCTCACTTTGCTTCTTTTATAAAGTATAACTGCTGTTAAATACATATGTGAAGAAGTAATTTAAAGATTGTCTTAAACTTCCTGGTTTTTGTAAAATATTCTAGTGAGGCAGTTTTATTTTAATCATATGCTGCAGTGGTACATTTAGTCAATCTCAAAGGTTCAAAAAAAATCTTTCCTGTGAAAAAAGATTCAGGAGTAGAGTTTTGCCTTTAACTCCATAATTGGAGTTCACATCATAGATTAGCCACTGATTTAAAACAATCAGTGTTTTAAAACCTACGGTCTTCAGCAGCCTTGCTGATATTACTATTAAATCATTGTGTTTAAAATTGAATATCCTATAGGATAAAATCAATGAGAATTACTTGTTATTAATTCTTCTGACAGAAACTTGGATTATTTGCTCATTTTTAGTGCTATTTCAATTAAAGTCACTTTTCAATATTTTAGAGTTAACTAAATAAAATACCAAAATATTCAAAGTCACAGATGCCCATTGTTTATAAATGGAGTTCATAAACAGTGTCATATAGCATTAAATTACTCAACAAAAGGAAGTACATGGGATTCTAAGACTTCAGTCATCAAAGTTAATAATTATGTAAAATACGACAAATATAGTAGAGAAATCTTAAGTCAAATTAGGCTTCAGAAACCTATAACTGTGATTATGAACAAGTCACTTAAACTATAACTGCAATCTTGCTTTGAAAAGAAAACAAAATTCTATTGATCATTTTTCTTCAAGTGCTGTGTGCCTCCACCATGTCTTTCAGAAGACCTCATTTCTTATTTCAGAGGAAATAGGAGGTCATCACATAGGGATTCGTTTCTTCCTCTTATCTTTATTAATATCGCACTTAATATCTTTAGTTATTTTGGCATAACCATTTATAACTAAAAAACAGTAATAGTTACTAACATTTATTGGTCATTTACTGTATTCCAGGCATTGTTCTATGTGTCTTCTATGTTAATTAGCACGTTTAATCCCTTCAGCAACTCCTTGAGGTCAGTACAACCACTGTGTCCTTTTTACAGGTGAGGAAGGAAACTGAGGTGTAGAGAGTCAGATAATTTCAGGGCTGCACAGGAAGTGAATATTGGGTTGGCCAAAAGTTTCGTTCAGTTTTGTCCGTAAGATGGCTCTAGTAGCACTTAGTTGTCTAAAACTTCATTCGAGACAATTTTGTTAGATTGTATGTGACAGCTGTCATATCAGCATGCATTTAAAAAAAGACTTATCAAAATTGGTGAATTTTGGGGCTTCCCTGGTGGTGCAGTGGTTGAGAGTTCGTGCCCCACTCTGGGAAGATCCCACATGCCGCGGAGCGGCTGGGCCCATGAGCCATGGCCACTGAGCCTGTGCTTCGCAACGGGAGAGGCCACAACAGTGAGAAGCCTGCGTACCGCAAAAAAAAAAAAAAAAGAAATTGATGAATTTTTGTTTAGCCATTTTAATATTGAAGATGGAAGAAAAACAACATTTTCAGCATATTATGCTTTATTATTTCAAGAAAGGCAAAAATGCAACTGAAATGCAAAAAAAGATTTGGGCAGTGTATGGAGAAGGTGCAGTGACTGATCGAACACGTCAAAAGTGGTTTGCATAGTTTTGTGCTGGAGATTTCTCGCTCGACGATGCTCCACGGTTGGGTAGACCAGTTGAAGTTGATAGCAATCAAATCGAGACATTAACTGAGTACAATCAATGTTCTGCCACGTGGGAGACAGCAGACGTACTCAAAATATCTGAATCAAGCCCTGAAAATAGTTTGTACCATCTTGGTTATGTTAATCGCTTCCATGTTTGGGTTCCACGTACCGCGATAAAAACCTTCTTGACTGTATTTCTGCATGCGATTCTCTACTGAAATGTAATGAAAACGTTCCACTTTTAAAACAAATTATGACAAGCGATGAAAAGTGGATACTGTACAACAATGTGGAACGGAAGATCGTGGGGCAAGCGAAATGAACCACCACCAACCACACCAAAGGCCAGTCTTTATCCAAAGAAGGGGATGTCGTGTAATGGTGGGGTTGGAAGAGAGTCCTCTGTTATGAGCTCCTTCCGGAAAACCGAACGATTAATTCCAACAAGTACTGCTCCCAATTAGACCAACTGATAGCAACACTCGACAAAAAGCGTCCAGAATTAGTCAACAGAAAACATGATCTTCCACCAGGATAACGCAAGGCTGCACATTTCTCTGATGACCAGGCAAAAACTGTTACAGCTTGGCTGGGAAGTTCTGATTCATTTGAGTATTCACCAGACATTGCACCTTTGCTTTTCCATTTATTTTGGTCTTTACAAAATTCTCTTAACTGTAAAAATTTCAAGTCCTTGGAAGACTGTAAAAGGACCTGGAACAGTTCTTTGCTTAAAAAGATAAAAAGTTTGGGGAAAATGGAATTATGAAGTTGCCTGAAAAATGGCAGAAGGTAGTAGAACAAAACAGTGAATATGTTCAATAAAGTTTTTGGTGAAAATGAAACATGTGTCTTTTATTTTTACTTAAAAAACAAAGGTACTTTTTGGCCAACCCAATACCAAATCATAGATTTGAATTCAGCTAATCTCACTCTGAGTCTTTTCTCTTAAACTGCATGGTGTATGTATTTCTAATTCCAACCTAAATTGTGCTTATCCTTGCTCATGCTTTTCTCTTTGCCCTCTCCCAAACAACTGAAATGCTTCTATGCTAGTACATATAGCATATTTATTTTTGAAGGGCCATATGCTATAAACTAATTAAGTAGTCAACATCTAGGTTTAAATCTTAACTCTGTCTGTCACTTAATTTACTCTGTGACATTGGGCAACTTTCTACATCTTTAAAATGGGCCAATATATATCTTCCAGAATTATTTTATAATGATTAAAAAGGGGAAAAATGTATAACTTAGTGCCTGGCACATGGTAAACACTTGTGAGCTCTACACCACCTCTTGGACTGTGAGGATTGTTTTGAGTGCTCCAGATTACATGAGACTGGGGCAGGGGGGTCTTTGGTTAGATGTCTTTTAGCAAGGTGGCTCTGGAAGGTACCTGTCATCCTCATCTAATCAGCATGGTACATGCTTAGAGTGGATGTGTCAGGCATAGTTAGAGTTTGTTGTTTTGTTTAGGAATGGTTTTAAAGAATGTATTTTGTTATAACTGGGTATAGGTGTTTGCTAGAGGATTTCTTTTTATACTGGACTTTAGTAGGGTTGAAGTATAAGTCATAAAAGAGATTTCATGGTGCCTAAAAAGCTTACTGTGGAGCATGTCATACAGCCTATTTAATTTTGTTTTCTTATTTTTTCCTCTAGAAAATTTGGTGAGCGGCCTCCACCTAAACGACTTACTAGGTAAGCATTATGTTAGTCTTTCACCCAAACATTTCATAGAAGTGTTAGATCCTGTCGTTTTGGAAGCTATATTAGGTGTTCTTTGCAAGAAGTTATTCACATAATGGTATCTAGATCATAAGCCTATTTCCACCCTCCCTTCCCCACATCTCCCCTTTTTCTCCCTTCAAAAAACAGGGTAAGAGGATACAGTTCAAAGGGAAAAATGAAACCTTTCAAGAATTAATAATGAGTATTATATAGTTAATATAACAAGGGCTACCATGTAAAGATAGTTTCCTATATCTAGCTTCATTAGCCAGTCACAATTTGTTGATCACAACTGGAACTTGAAAGATACTTAAATGCTTTTAGAAAAGAATTTTAAAACAAAGATATTATCCATTTTTAATGAGACTATAAATATTATATTCTAATTATGGAATTTTTATGGTATGCATTTTAATTACACATGTTAAATTTTTTTTTTTTTTTTTTCCTTGCGTTATGCGGGCCTCTCACTGTTGTGGCCTCTCCCATTTGCGGAGCACAGACTCCGGACGCGCAGGCTCAGCGGCCATGGCTCACGGGCCCAGCCGCTCCGCGGCATGTGGGATCCTCCCGAAACGGGGCACGAACCCGCGTCTCCTGCATCGGCAGGCGGACTCTCAAGCACTGCGCCACCAGGGAAGCCCCACATGTTAAATTTTAAAGTGTTAGTCTTGAAAATGATTTTAAAAATTTCTAACGATCAGTGATTGTAAAATAAAAATAAGACATTCAAAAAAAAAAAAGACGTTCAGTTCCACAGTTACAGTCCTAGAGTTAATGCTACCCTGTGTCGTTAGTATCTTTTAAGAAAATCGTATGTGTGTATAAACATATACCTGTCTTTTTTCTTTTTAAAGTCTGGCATCATACTCTACCATTGTTCTGTTAACTGTAGATCGTCTACCTTGTTCTCCTTAGTGTATCCATAGCTTTTCCTTGTCTTCCCACTGCTCCTTATTTAATTCACACTGATAGCCATTTGGGTTATTTCCACATTATTAACTATTATTAAAAAAGCTGTTTCACTCAAAGAATGACAGGGGCATGCCAGAAGTACACACAAAGGGAGCCAGTTTGAAGAGGCTTCTTTTAGCCAAATCATGGACACTTTGGTCATCAAAATAAATAATGATAGTAATAGATTAAAATCCATAAAATAAAAGGACAGTTTAGAAGTCTACACTGAGTTAAATAAATAATTCGATAAATGGGGGAGAGGAGATAGCTTTTCTTTACAGAAGAATTCCACCTAATAAGTGTAGAAGGAATCATGGAACTAGGAAAGCACATTTTGGCAACCATTACAGTGATAATCGTTTCAGGCCAACATCATCAATGAATTCTTAAACTACTGGTTTAAAGTCTGATGAGAAACAAAGTGCTTTTATAGTGTCTAAGCATATCTTCACAAAGTATGGTTAATTATAAAGTGAAAAGCAGTAACATGACAGTGAAGAAACCTGGCAGATGCCACCTTAATTAAGCGTTCTAAATTAACATCACTAATAATGCACAAATAAATATCATATGCATCCTGAGGACATATTATCACTTTTGTAGTGTTCTTGCCAAAAATGCATAAGCTAAATCTAAGCATAAGGAAACATCAGACAGACACAGATGGAAGGACATTTCTATAAAATAAACAGCATCTACTCTTCAAAATTTTCAAAATCACGAAAAACTAAGACTGAGGAGTACCAGAGTAAAGGAAACCAAAAAGACATGACAACTAAGTTAAACATGACAAATTCAACTGAACCTGGACCAGGAACAAATTTTTCTTGTGCTCTAAAGCTGGAGTTGGCAAACGTTTTCTGTAATAGGCCAGATAATAAAAGTGTTAGGCTTTTTGGGGCACACTGAGTTTGTTTTGACTTTTCATCTCTGTTCTTGCATCCCCAAATCAGCCGTAGGCAATATGTAAATGAATGGTGTGTCTGTGTTCCAGCTCAAATTAATTAAAAAAACAAACAAACTGAAGGCTATTCTGATTTGACCTGAGGACAGCTGTTACTCAATACGGCTCCATACTCCCACCCCCAATAAAGGACATTAGAGGGACAGTTGGAGACATCTGAATAAAATCCATTATCAGTGATAATTGCATTGTGATTGTATAAGAGATTGTCTTTTTAGGAAATAAACACAAGTAATTGGGTAAAGGGACTTTATGTCTATAATGTGCTCGTAAATGGTTTTAAAAACATAATATATAGGGCTTCTCTGGTGGCACAGTGGTTGAGAGTCCGCCTGCCGATGCAGGGAACACGGGTTCGTGCCCTGGTCCAGGAAGATCCCACGTGCCGCGGAGCGGTTGGGCCTGTGAGCCATGGCCGCTGAGCCTGCGCGTCCAGAGCCTGTGCTCTGCAATGGGAGAGGCCACAACAGTGAGAGGCCCGCGTACCACAAAAAACCCCCACAAAAAACCATAATATTACAAATATGGTAAAATATTAACATTCGAGAGTCTGGGGTAAATTGGGACTAGGAATTGTTTGTGCTTTCGTAACTTTTCTGTATGCCTGAAATTCAAAATAAAAAAAAATTGAAGGTGTATTTCAGATCAAGTGGGCTGGGAAAATATAACTTATCTCACAGGTCCATGTAAATGTATTTTCAATTACTTATTTTTATATATCTTGAAATTCTAACTGGAATTGCTTAATTCACATATATAGCCATTTTGAAATTTAATAGAGAAATATTTTAATTTCATTACCAGCAGCAATAGGTTCAGGTGACTCCTAACAATAAAATATTTATTTATTCATTCATTCATTCATTTATTTAGGCTGTGTCGGGTCTTAGTTGTGGCACGCAGGATCTTCGTTGAGGCATGCGGGATCTTTTGTTGTGGCACACGGGCTTCTCTCTAGTTGTGGAGTGCAGGTCTTCTCTTTTCTAGTTGTGTCACACAGGCTCCAGGGCGCATGGGCTCTGTAGTTGTGGCGCACGTGTTCTAGAGCATGTGGGCTCTGTAGTTCGTGGTACACAGGCTCTCTGGTTGAGGCACGTGAGCTCAGTAGTTGTGGCACGTGGGCTTAGTTGCCCCGCGGCATGTGGGGATCCTAGTACCCTGACCAGGGATTGAACCCATGTCCCCTGCATTGGAAGGTGGATTCTTTTTTTTTTTTTTTTTTTTTTTTTTTACAATGGTGTGTTAATTTCTGCTTTATAACAAAGTGAATCAGTTATATATATACATATGTTCCCATATCTCTTCCCTCTTGCGTCTCCCTCCCTCCCACCCTCCCTATCCCACCCCTCTAGGTGATCACAAAGCACCGAGCGGATCTCCCTGTGCTATGCAGCTGCTTCCCACTAGCTATCTATTTTACGTTTGGTAGTGTATGTATGTCCATGCCACTCTCTCACTTTGTCCTAGCTTACCCTTCCCCCTCCCCATGTCCTCAAGTTCATTCTCTACGTCTGTGTGGAATTATATTCCAATAAAGATGTTTTTTAAAAAAAAAGAAGCTAAGACCAGGAGTGTATAAAATTTTTGTTAAAGGGTAAAATGGTAGGTATTTTTGTGACCCAAACAGCCTCTGTTGTAACTACTTAACTCTGTTGTAGCACAAAAGCAGCCTCAGACGATGTGTAAACCAATGGACATTTCTGTATACTGGAGTATAACTTTATTTCTAAAGTAGGCGGTGGATAGCATTTGACGTGCAGGCTGTAATTGTAGATCCCTGAGCTAGAGGAGAGGTTGAACAACTTAAATAGAGGACCTGGAAGATAAAAAAGGGAAGATCCAAAGCAAATTCTAGAGATGAAAACTAAAGTATTTAAATGAAAAAATACACTTGGTGGGATTAATCACAGATATACACTGTTGAAGAAGAGATTAGCAAACTTGAAGGCATACCAATAGAAACTATCCAAAATGAAGCACCCAGAGAAAATATCTGAAAAAAAAAAGATCATTAATGAGCTGTGGTTTATTTTCAGATACACCAATATACATGTAATTGGAGTCATTTAAGGGGAAGGTATGACTAAAAGAATATATGAAGACATAATGGCTGAAAATTTTCTAAATTTGGTGAAAACTGTAAAACCACAGTTCCAAGAAACTCAGTGAACTCCAAGTGCAAAAACTATCATTTTTTTTAAACCACATCATCATCAAGTTGCTTGAAGTCAGTGATAAAGAGAAAATGTTAAATGCAACAGAGAAAAAAAGATAAATTATATACAGAGGGAAAAAAGATATAGAGAAGGATGACAGGTTTCTCATCTGAAACCTTGCTAGGGAGAAGACAGTGGAACAAGAGCTTTAAAGTACTCAAGGGGGAAAAATATGGCAACCTAGAATTCTATACCTAGCAAAGGCAAAATAAAGACATTTTTAGACATAAGAAACTGAAAAGGAATTATTCATAAACAGGCCTGAGCTACAAAAAATGTTAAAGAAATCCTTCATGCAGAATGATAATCATATCAAATAGAAATCTGTTTCTGTATAAATTACTAGCATCAAGAATGAGAAAGGTAATATCGCTTTAGATTCTACAGATATTTAAAGGATAACAAGCAAATATTAGAAATAGCTTTCTGCCGATAAATTCAACAACTTTTGAAGAGATACACAAATTCCTCGAAACTGGCAAGCTACCAAAGCTTACTCAGGAAGAAACAGAGAGATAGAAACCTGAATAACCCTATATCTAAAGAAATTGAACTTGTAATTCTAAACCTTCCACATAGAAAGTTCCAGGCTTAGATGATTTTGCTATTGAATTCTACCAGACATTTAAGAAATACATCATGCCAGTTCTGTACATACTCTTCCAGAAAACTGGAAAGCAGGACATATTTCCCAGTTCATTCTGTTAGGACAGTGATGCCCTGTTACTAAAAGCAGACAAAGACATTAAAATAAAATAAACTTGTGGACTTATATCCCTTATGAGCACAGATATAAAACGTGTTAACAGTTTTTCAAAATGAATCCAACAGTA